GTAGAGTTAAGCTAAGATCAGACGTATCACCATAACATATCACCCTTGAACAAACATTTTGCTTGCCGTTACCTTCTCTGTCGCTAATGTGGGGTAGTTCAAACGACTCATTCGCAAGCCCTGTTCTGTCATAAGGCTCACTTTTGGCCATAGCCCCTCCGCGAGGCGAAGGAAGAACACAACAGTGAATGTTGCCCATAGTCAACGATTGCAGTTACCCCGCGCCAAAGCAAAAACCGGACTTTACGCCGCAGAGCCAACAACTACATTATAAAAAGCTGTCGATTTGTAGCTTCAAAGACTTCTTCGGGAGACATCGGGATCTCCAGTCTTCCTTTAGAAGGAGTTTTCCAGATAGAAGATCGAGTTTGGATACCTCTGAACAGCGAACAACAAACAGACTCAATCAGATGGTTCTGGATTTTGATTGGCCAACGGCTAAAAATTACGTCATGGATTGATCATATATGGAGACAATTCTGGATAAGCCTGGAACTTTTTTCTGCCTGGGAAAATATCTTATAACCCGGCATGTATCCGTATCATTTTCAATATAAACTCTAGACATATTTAATTTTTATTAACTCTGTATTTTAATTTTTTTCAACTCTTTTTTAGTTTTTTTTATCTTTAATCTCAATTTTTACCTTTCCCTAAATATTAGGCTTTAAATTTTTCTCAGAGAATGGACGAGCTTTTTAATTTTGTCGCCATGAAAATATTGATGATGGCAGATGATGATGAAAATGTTAGGAGAATTTAAAGAATATAAATAAATTAAAACTCATTTGCATTTATGTCTCAAGCGCCCGGGAAAGTTAATAAAAAAAATTAACACAGAGACCAGGAAACAATGTAATGGCTGAAGTGCTTGTATATTTCCGTGTGGTTATTCTCATATTAGTATGTTTTTATTTCAGGAGTTTTCAGTAAAGCAATGGCATTTGACCTTAGCGGCGCGGTGCAGCGGTCTGTATATTGTAAGAGAAGTACTGGGTTCTACTTAGCAACCTTCTCTTGACGACCACAGTCAAGGGAGCCATATTTACAATATCTTGCGCTACAGCAAATTAGCAACGATTTAGTAGGCAAAAATAGTTTCCGCCGCGATGTATGACGACGACGACGAGCCAGAAGGTCCAAAGAGCTCATTTACAACTTATCTTTCGGAAGGAAATGTGCATTTTAATCAAGGAGAATATAAGAAAGCTCTTGATAGCTACACACAGGTAAAGATCTCTCTACTAAATGAGCTTATATCTCCTGAGTTTGTGCATGTTAGATAGTAAGAGTTTGTTTCTTTGTTATTGTATCCTCGAATTTCGAACGTTCTTTCAAGGAAGAAAAGAAGGAAATTATGTGACATTTGCTTGTAAAAATATAAGTTTGGCTGATGTCTTAATAAGCTTATGCATGTAAGCGTTGGTATAGTTTGATTTTGACTAGTAACAACTTCAGTTATAACCCTACACGTAACTGTCAAATGAAGGTGAAATGTAGAACGTATGATTAAATGCTTTGTCTAGTGGTATGACCTAAACATTGGGTTGAGAAATAGAAATAGTCAAGAAACAGACAGTTAGTTATCAGCGAATAATTGCAAGAATGTTGGCTTAATAAAGTAATAAATCTGTTCCTTGTGATAGAACTCTTTCATTTTAATTCATCATAATAATTTTGCTAATTTTGCATCAAATGACTGGTTGATCATTGACAAACTCTCAGAAAGTATCAGAAAGTAGTGTGTATGCACTAGTGGGGTCTCTAGTGGGGACACATAGTGAGAACACTTGAACTGTGACATATATTTGTAAATATTTTGTTAACTATAGGATGAGGGCTCTTCATATGAAGAAGAGTATTCAGTGAATTTTGCATAGTAAAAACAGTAGTCATGTACATAAATTATTTGAAGGGCCTTCATTCTATAGTCACCAATTAAAACAATGCACAAAAAATGTGTTCCTAGTTTGAGTGTACATACAGTAAGTATACTGTAAGTTACACCAGACTTTTCTAATGTTTGGTTGTTCCACTCTAACAACATTGTAAACAGTAATTGGCTGCGGGCAAAAATGACCATCTAGTTTACGAATATGATCCGAGCTATTCCAAAAAAAAAAAAAAAAAAAAAAGATCTGAGCTATTGCTCTGATTCTTTACAAAAAGATGTCATAATCGGCCACCTATGCTAATAGTAAAACTGCCTTCTTCAAAACTTTGATAGCGCTGCTCTGAATATCTGTCTACTATAAAATACAGTAGAGATCCTTATCTTGATCATGTCATGAGTTGCACTATGTTTTTGTTCTTTACAGTGTTATGCTATTGTTATGCTTTTGTTTAATAATAGGCACTTGAGTTACAGCCCGGATATAAAGTTTGCCTGGTCCAGCGGTCAAAGTGCTACTTAAGACTGGGTGATCCTGATGCTGCGTTGAGAGATGCTGAAGAATCACTTGTTGAAGATAAAGAATACAACAAGGTTTGAAAAAACTAATACTGTTTCATCCTGCCTGAGGAAAATCCTTTTTCTTTCTGTAGTTGATTACTGTACCATTAAATAACTCTTACTGGATGGGAATCCCAGTCTGTTGCTAGTAGCATTTTATTGGGAGGTTCCTACAGTTTGTTGGTTGTCATTTCATGAATGTACATCTTTGTTTGATGTCTAAACACTGTATATATACCATATTTAAAATATTCGAATAAGCATTCAACCTCAAATTAGTACCCACCTCAAATAAGCACCCATCCCAAACTTCCCGATCAGACAATATATTCTTTTGCTTTTATTCTAGAGGTTGTGCCACTGCATGTCCTCTGCTGATGTTGCTTGAATTTGTTTGATTAATTTTCAGGGACTTTACCAGAAAGCAGAAGCCTTGTATTCCAAGGGTGACTTTGAATATGCCCTGCTATATTATCACCGTGGATACAAGTTGAGACAAGACCAGGAAGAGTTTAAGCTTGGCATTCAGAAGGCCCAAGAAGCCATCGACAATGCTATTGGAAGTAAGAGCTACAGGCTTATTTATTGTTGTTTTTTGGTCAATAATGTGTGAACCATTGTGTATTAAAAGTCACAAGTAATTCCATCATGTCAATGATCAGTGTGCAAAGACTTTTCAGTCTGACTACTGGATTCTGTCTGTCAATTGCCTGGTGGGCAAGGGAAGTTTTTGGGAAAATTTTATGAGGACAGGTGATGTACTGTCAATTAAAAGTGCTGTTTACAAGAGATGAACGTTTTAGGAGCTAAGGAGAGTGATTTTCAGGCTAGTGCATCTTTAGTTAGTAAATGTTAGAGCCTACCCAAACTCAAAAATTTGTTCTTTTTGCACCCTGATGATGCACTTTGGCAGAGGAAAAGGTATAATTGGTCTGAATTCCATTCAACTCTAAACTGCACCCCCCCAATCTTTCTGTTTGATTAAACATTTCTTTTCCATCCACTTTATGGTCAATTCAAGGAGAAATAATGAAATGAATTCAGACAGATGCATTTGCCATTTCTTGTATTTTTTCTTATATTTTTTATTGTATTTCTTTATTGGAATCAGGAACTCTGCTTTTAGGCTTGGCTTTATCTATATATTATGGGAACAGTTACTGTTTTATACCAACTGTAAAATGCAAAAGAAGATCACCTTTAAGGAATGGATGACTGTTCTGTTTATAACTTTAGAGTCTGCAGCACTATTGGAGAGTATGGGTGATAAGCCCTTTGCAGCTGGAGTCATGTGACCAAATTTTTCCAAATTTTTCCTGTATTATGAGCTGTACACTGTAACTTGAAGAATGCCAGAAATGGAAAGAGCATATATTATATAGAAAATACCAAAATGGCCAAGTTTGAGGTCCCTGGCATGAAGGAGTGAGTTTTAGTACAAAGGTTTGAATTTTCGGAAAATTTAGAGGATTTGTAGGGAAAATCTTCTTAAAAATCTTATTTTTTAAAAATTCAGACCATCATAAAATCTCATGCTTTAATCATGGTGGCCTCAAACTTGGCCATTGTGATATTTTCAAAATGCTTTTTCCATTTCTGGCATTTGTAAAGTCATAACCCATAATTTTATGAAAAGAAGGTCACTTGATGGCTTTAATAGCTGCAAAGGGTCTGATGATAAGTCAAAAGATTGATTCTCCACTTCGTAGAAAACTATGGCAAATTTGTGTAAAACTCTGAATTAGAACTCTCTAAAATTTTTCTAAAATAATGTTGATGGTACTTGCTTTTTAGGTAAGGCCAAGGTTAAGCTGGAAAACAAGGGAGATTTGTCTTTTTTTGCTAAACAAGATGAAGCGGTAAGTATTCAACATAATTTATTTGAGTCTTCTTTTTGAACCCTGTAGGAAGTTTTTAAACCAACATCCTACTTGCTTACCGTGGAATGGCAAACAAGTGTGCTGAGAGTCTACAACTGTGTTAAAATATGAACATTCAAAGTCAAAATCAAATACATGTGATGTGAAAATTGGAGATTAAACAACTTTAGGACCTCATCCAGCTGAGCATCTATCCCTAGAGATGTTAAGGAGTACATGTAGTTTCATCCCGTAGTGTTCTATCGTAAGTTTACTGATTTTGATCTTTTTACAGAAAAAGACAACCAAGGGCTATAGCAAACCAACCACTCAGGCAGCAAGAAATCAACAACAGGCAGCAAACAGAGGAAAAAACACCAAAAGCCCAGTTAAATCAGAGAAAACTGTCAAGAAAGTAAGCTAACCAGCCATTACTTGTAAATAGTTCAGATGCTATAAAATGTAAAGTCTGTATATGAGCCAAGTGGCCCATCAAGGCTGGTGTTTATCTCTGGTTTCTGTTGTATGAAGTGACTAGGAGTATTTCTAACCCCCCTCCCCCCCTGGATGGGATGCTAGTCCATCAAAGAACTACCCCCAACATTAAATTTGCCAGTACCATTTACACAACTGGGTGGAGAGAGGCACTGTGAGAGTGAAGTGTCTAGCCCAAGAACACAACACAATGTCCCTGGCCAGGGCTAGAAACCAGACCGCTCAATCCAGAGGCAAGCGCCCTATACTAACCATGAGGCCACTGTGCCTCAACAACAGATGCTATTGATGCTTCAGATGCTGTAAACACAGCTAAAATCCTGGGAGGGTGAGAGGAGTCTGTGTATGTTACTTACAGATGGCAATCAGTTACTCACATTTTCCCTCTTCATGTAACGATTTGTTAGAGAAAATAGTGGGCATCAATTGTTGACAATTCTACACACTCTGTAAGTAATATTTCTTAGGCACATTTTTTTTATTTCCTTGCAGCTCTTAGGAGAATTATATGCTGACAAGAAGTACCTTGAGAAACTCATGGATGATCAAGGTACAATGGACAAGTACTTCGGAATCATTAATATACAATTAAATTAAACATAACATGTAGTAAAATCATAGGACCACAAAGTGCATTTTCATCTTTGCATCCTGCAACCTTGACCAAAGTTAAAAGTCTAGTTTCATTGTGAATTGAAGTGTTTCAGAAAAGTTATCTGCACTTCTAGCCTTAAAGCCTATTAATTAATACTGTTTTCATAATCTCATCAGTTTAGCCCGGTCTGTTTGAAAGGTGGATAATGCTATCCACTGGATAAATCACTATCCAGCAGATTTGCGCAATTTGTTTTGTTAACACTTTTCCACTAGATAGCGATTTATCCAGTGGATAGTGTTATCCAGCCTTCAAAAAACTGAGGCCTGTAGTATATAATCATCCCATGGTCATTTGCACTAAGTATGATCTTTATTGTAATTTGTTTTTAGATTTTATTCATGGTAACAGCAGCAAGCCAATATATGATCTTGTACAAGAGGGCTTGAATTATTTAGACACAAGGATTGACTTCTGGAGACAACAAGAACCACTGTATGCTCGCAAGAACAAGAAACTGCCCCCTAGGAAACCACCACAAAGACAACTCCCCGCTGACACAACAAAATTCATCTTAAGATCATTGGAGGAAATAGATCAGGCATTGGCAGATGGTGATCCGGAGGCCAGTTTGAACAAGGCACTGTCAACATTAAAAACAGTTCAGTCTTTAGGAGCAGAAAGTGTCCCAAACAAAGCTGAAGTTGTTGGCAATTTATACTCTTGTATCGGAAACGCTCATCTTGAAATGGAGAATTATGAAGAAGCTTTGAAATACCATGAGAAGGATTTGAAGGCTGCTAAAAAGCTGTAAGTGATCATAAGACACAGATTGGTAATCTTATGTTCAGATCATTTTATTTCCTCTGTCCTCCAAAGTAGTTATTTTTACATAGGTATTAGAAGTTTTGTTCTTTGGTTCACTCACTCAGTTACTCACTCAGATCAGTAGCACGCTTGTCACGCACTAATGGAAAATCACAGATTTGCTTGAATCTTTTAAGAATTTCTTGGCGCACAATGATCAGATCTGCTTGAGACTTTCCAAAATTGTTACACATGTGTTAAAGATGGTTTTGGACTAAACAGAAGTAGAATAAAGGATTTTTGAAAAAATATAATCGGAGCCGAATTGTTAAGTTAGCGACAAAAACATGGCGTCACACGTAACTCACGTGTGCTTCACTATTGTCTGTTCAATTGTGACCATAACAGTGTTTGGATTGTTTGGCCACATTCCAAACAGCGAGAAGAGAGTTGGAAATACAATGTACAGCAAAGTATTTTTGCTGAACTTTGAGGTTTTTGGAAAATAATGTGGTAAAAAACCATCTTGAGTGTTTGATATATCTTCCCATTCAAAACTAAAACTAAAACGAAAAAGGAGAAATAAAATCGAAAAAATCTATGCTAATTGATGTCAGATATCCAAACACCATCGCAGTCATGATTTCCTTTGTTTAAACTTGATGAATTATTAATGAGTTTAAGAAATATATCTTGAAACACTTTTTGTTGTTTCCTCCAAAGTGAAAGCAAAGAGGCTAAATCACGTGCATTAGACAACCTTGGAAGACTGTATGCCAAGATGGGAGAATACACTAAAGCTATTGATGCCTGGATGGAGAAACTTCCACTCAGTAAATCAGTACTTGAAAGCACGTGGCTCTATCATGAGATTGGCCGGTGTCATTTAGAGCTCAAGTACTATCAGGATGCAAAAGAGTTTGGTCAAAAATCATTGGCTGCAGCAGAGCAGGCTGACGACAAAGTGTGGCAGCTAAATGCAACTGTTCTTGAGGCTCAAGCGGAAGGTAATGTATCAAAATGTGATTTCTCCTTACTAGCTTAAAGCATAATTACAGTGGAAGCCTGTTAATCTGATCAACGACAGGCCACGAAAGTCTGTCCATATTAAGCAAGATGGCCGCTGGGGTTTCAATAATAGCTGGGTAGCAGGTAGATCCAACCGCTTGCAATGAGTGGACTACCCGCATGTAGCCGTCCTGGGTAACCGTACACAAATAACTAAGACCAGATAATTTCCTCGCAGCTAAGGATTCTCTTCATGACAAGAAATTTGGCAAAGTAAGTCTTATGTTATAGGTAAAGAAAAAGAAAGGTACAAGAAAAAACTTTCTAGTGTTAACCCAGCCTTTTGGACCACGAAAGATGAAGGAAAGTGTAACCTTACGTATGAGAACAATTGCTTCAATACGAAGNACTCCAGCATCAAAACAAAAGAGGTCGAAGAAGAATGATTCTTCGCAAGGTTAGTTGAGTATATTGAAAGGGACACATTTTGATGTTTAAACTTTAATGTTATGCTTCTTTTTGTGGTGAAATATGATGTATCAATCATGAATGGATTTGAATATGAAGAATTAAAATACCACGTTATCAGCCTTGTCTTTCTAATCGACTGACTTCTAGGAACAACAAAGCAACATAAAAATAGGCCTCAAAACGCAGGAAAACGCATCTGTGAGAGTCTAGAATTTCAAAATCTCCTGGGCCTTCCAAGAAACTACCTGCCTGTTTTTCTAAACTATCCTCTTGTGCCAAAAATTATTGAAACCCCTGTGGCCATATTAAAGAAATGACTGATCTTTTAATATGATATTTTTGTTTGTTTTAGTAAAACTCGGTGATCTTCAAGATGCCCTACAGTCTTTTGAAAAAGCTTTAGAGCTGGCCAAAATCCTGGAGGATGATGCTGCTGAAAATGCCATATCCAAAGCCATTAATGACGTAAACAACAGAATTGCACAAGGTTAGTGAGTTAGGGTGGAGAAACCATGTTTTAATTACCCTTCTGAGCAAACCATGGCATCAGTCCTTGTAAATAAAAGGCATGTTTACAACATTTTCAACCTTTGCATCAATGGCACCTAAGTTTGAATGACAATACTTTACACATCCTTAGCCTCATACTTATGTTTCCAGACAAAGGATTTTTCACATGAATGTTAGCCTTAGGATACATTGTGTATGTGTAAGTATTGTTATTCAAAATTAGGCGCCGTTTATGCAAAGGTCTATTGCTTGTGGGATAAATCTTGACAAACCGAAAGAGCAATTTTTTTTACTTGCTAACATAGTGTATTTTCTTCAGGGATCAAATCTGGTGAGGACAGTGCAGGAGATGAACAAAAAGACACAGAGGAAACCAATGCAGCAGAAGATGAAGAAAGTAAAGAAACAGAGGCAGAAAAACAACCCGAGGATGAAGAAGGGGTGAAGGAAAATCCAGTTGAAGAAAACACTGAAGAAGTGAAGGGAAACGAGGCCGGTGAAGAAAATGAGACAAAGGAGTCAGAAGAACAAGCACAGGAAGCAGCCGAGGAAGCAGCAGAGGAATCTAATGACGCAGCAAAAGATGTTGAACCACCAGTTGAAGAAGATGGAGTGAAGGAACAATAACTTACCTAAGTTTATTTTAATGGCTGTATATATCAATTAGTATAAATTATAATAAGTTCTTTCTTGATGAGTTCATCTTCTGTTTTGTAGCCAAAAAAACATAACTGCTTGTTCAATGTACATGTATGTTTTAGTTTTTACCCCACTACTGTGATTTTTTTCTGGCTTTTGTGTGAAAAAGTAGAGTTTAAAATAAGACATTCTTACTAATAACAGTGCAAGACTTTATTTTCCTTTAAAAGAGAATGTACATTACAATGCATTAAGTGTAATAAAGGTTGATATTTACACTAACTACAGACACTGTTTGTGTTTCTGTTAGAGAAAAGAAACAAGGGGAAGTCTGGGAGAAAGAGAAATGGTGTAGGATTTGTAGTGCTCTGAAACTTTCATGAGTGTTTCTCAAACTCCATAGGAACATGGAGAAAATTTTTCCTATCTCTTGTAGAAAACACTGAAAAAGGAGAAAATTCGCTGTTGAATTTGATTATCAAAATGTTAATTCTGGTGCCATCATTACATCAACAGCTCATACTAGTTCTGTGCTGTTTAGAATTTTAAAAATATGACTTTTGGCATTTGTTGTTTGTTAGGCTGTCTCTTAAATTATAATTACTTAAAATTGAAAGCTCGTGGGAAAGCTCTAATATTGAGAATTTACACTACTCATGATAATTCTTTCAGATATTACTTGCCTCAGGGTTCATGCAATCTTGAGAGAATTTTCAAATATCACACATAGTGTAAATCACAAATTTCTTACAATTACGTATTCCACTAACTCTCACTGATATAACACACCCTGCATATTATGAGCAACCTGGTGAAACTGCCCATTTAGAGGAAAGATATTACCCTACATTTGTCCAGTATAACATCAAGTGAAACAAAGTGGAGATGTAAGGAACTTAGTTTTAAAACTTAACAGGGTTAGGCTGCAGCACAGAGTCTATGTATGAAATAGATTGTTTCGATCAAGTGAAAAAAAAATTCTCTTTCAAAAGGAATTTTAGAGTCGGATGCCTTTCATATGACTTCTCTGAATATGGAAGTTTCCAGTTTGCTGAAGTCAATGTGAAGTTTTCTCAGCTTTCAGCCAGAGATGCTTATTCTGATTTATTAATTGCAAATTTTGGTATGGTAATGACCTAGCCAGAGCACTACTGAGGCTAACCAAAGTGCTAGTTTGGATAACTTGAGTGTTATTCAGGATAGCTGGAGTGCAACTTGACCATTCACTCTTGACTCCAAGGTTGTGTTCTATCAGGATCAACTATCAACTAATTATCCACCATCTTTATTCACTTATCACACTCACGATCACTTCGACAGTGCTGATCCTAGCAGTATGTAAGATGCCTGTCACATATGAACTTGCTCTCTATGAGTTCCTGTAGCTCAGTGGCTAGAGCGCCCGCCC